AGTGTGTGCGCCTGCTCTGGGTGTTTTGGGGGTGTCTATGTTTGCTTTTCAGCTTTTTGCTCTTTGGGGGTGTGGCCTCTTCCCATGCAATGGAGACTATGGCAAGGAGAAGGAGTCGGGACTCCCCGGTTCCTCCTCCCGTTCTTTCCCCAATGCCTCCGTTTCTAGTCTCCCATCAGGGGCCTCTGGGCAGTTCTGTGACCCCTTCGGCTAAGGATCCAACCCCTGTGTGGACTGCGTTTCAATCACAGGCAGTCTGGTTCATGCGTGCCCTGCTTCTGCCTCTTTGGGGTCGCGCCTTTCCAGCCCACAATGGAGACTACCCAACGGGGAGGGAGTCGGGACTCCCGTTTCCTCCTCCCGTTCTTTCCCCAACACCTCTGTCTCCAGTCTCTCCTCAAGGCTCTTCCAGCCAGTCTGCACTCAGCCCCCCAGCTCACATGCACAAGCTGTGTGCGGAGTGCACAAAAGGCAGATTAATTGATGCCCTTATGCCTGAGCGAGATGGTAGCTGTAGCGTGGGAGGTGCTTTATCACTGGGGCTCCCCTAGCCGCGGTGTCACACCAGTCTTTTCCCAGGCACCAGCCCACCCTGCTGCCACCGCCACCCAGAGATCAAGGAAGGTGGCTGCCACTGCAATTTTTGCATTGTCCCTTTAAATGTCTCTTTGCATCCCCAGCCACCTGTCTCTGGCAGAGAGCGCCCCTAAGATTTTTGGGGTTGCGTTTTGTCTGTATTTTCTCGGCTTTAGCTGCTGTAGTTTAGGGGTTCCTGTTTATGATTCAGACCCCGTTCTTCTCGGGGGGGGGGGGTCGGCGCTAACTGGCTGTTTCAATGTCCCTCTGGTGCCAGTTCCCGTGGGCACCCAGCCTACCCTCTCGAGCCTCCACCGCAATTCTCACCAGTTGGGATGTGTGAGAGTAGAATCCACTGTCCGCGGCACCAAGGTTCCTCTCCCACTATCGCTCCACTGCTTTCCAGGTGATTACTCCACTTTTTAGTTGCAATTCCAGTTCGGTTTTGGGAGGAGGTCAGCGTGACTCCCTTTCACTCCTCCGCCATCTTTCCACTCCTCTCTATGGTTTAGTCTTTAAAAGGGAGATTACTTTCAAATACTAATGTGTAGATTTAATTTAATTTTTAAATATTATTTTTATATTTTATTTTTTATTAAATCATTTTTTTGTTTTTCTATTACAGTTGTCCCATTTTTTCCCCCTTTGCCTTGCACCACCCATCCCAATCCCCACTCCCACAGTTGATTCCCACACTGTTGTCCATGTTCATGGGTCATTCATACATGTTCTTTGTCTAGTCCCTTCCCCTTTTATCCACTACTATCTTTTTATCAAGTAAGATATTATATGTTTGAATTTAGTAGTAAACAAAAAAAGAGAGAGAAGGAAAGGTCTTCCTCTGTGTCATGTCTCCTATGGCTCATTTGTAAAATGATAAAGTGCTAAGGATATCTCCTGTGCTCTGCATGTGCAACCAGAAGGTTTTATTCCATAGAAATAGAATGAGGTACTTATCCCAGAGTTCCTTCTATGATGACCACAGGCAAGTGTTTGTACCTGACCTTCATTCACTGGTAACTTAAGAGTCAGTGTTTACAAAGCACTATCACCAGATTATAGTGGTTTCCTACCAGTGGTTTTGAGTGTACCATCCAGTTTGTATCTGGCTAGATTTATGTCACCTTGTTGACCAACTTGGTCTCCTCAAGGAGCATTAGCATCTTATTATTTAGAGATATTTGGTATAGTTCTTTTTAATTTTCTGTCACACCAAAAATGATCAGACTCTCAAAAACAAAAACAAACTCAAGAGAGGATACTCCCTGTGTGAATATAAGATTATTTTATCAAGTATTTGTTTTCATCTGTGGTTTCCACAGTGAATATTATGTGTGTAAAGAAGTACCATGGATCCAATTAATACTGCATGGCATTGTAAGTATGATTACTTGCTTTTCACATTCACCTAGAATAAGGTTGTCTATGGAAGTTTTGCTTCAATAAGAAAATATCATGGAGGGCTCACTGGTATCATACTCTAACTCAGAAATTTTCAACCTCTTTAATCTCATGGCACATATAAACTAATTACTAAAATTCTTTGGCACACTAAAAAATGTATTTTTGGCCAATCTGTCAAAAAATAGGTGTAATTTTGATTCATTCACACCAGATGGCTATGTTGTGTGGGCCGTTGTCATTTCTTCATTTGACAATCTAAAGGGAAAGAGGTCAGTTCCCCTGACTAATTAGTCAGGTATGGCATGTTTTAAAAATTCTTGTGGCATACCAGCTGAAAATTGCTGCTCTAGATAGTCATGCCTGAGTCTCCACTGCTTTGTGGAAAGATATATATTTCAATTGAGAATTATCACTAATGACCAATTTTTTTAGTATTCATTCACCTTTATTTCAATTACAGTTTATGTTCAATATGATTTTATATTAGTTTCAAGTGTATAGCATAGTGATGAGACAATCCTAGACTTTACAAAGTAATCCCCCCCAATATTTCCAGTACTTACCTGGCTCCTTATGTAGCTATTATAATATCATTGATTTTATTCCCCCTACTGTATTTTACAACCTCAAGACTATTTTGTAGCTATCAATTTACACTTAATCCCTTCACCTTTTTCACCCAGTTCCCCAACTCCCCTCCACTCTGGAAACCATCAGTCTGTTCCTTGTGTCTATAAGCCTGGTTCATTATTGGCCAGGTCTTGATGATGTTAAAAAAAGATTTCTTGATTAACAAACAACAGTGACATTAAGAGTGATCAACTCAAGGTGACCCATAACCTTAATGACATTGATCTGTAGGCCAAGAAACAAACTTTGATCATAAAAATTGTAGCTCTCTTAGTTTACCTGATATTTTATAATTAAAAAGAATTACCCACTTCTCAATCATTTGGAAAAACAGCTTTTCATGATAAATGACATAAAAAAGAACAAAAAAATCATAATTCATTTTTTATTATTCTAACTAATTTGTTTGAAAAGCTAAGACATAAATCAAATATTTATTTTTTAAAACATGTTATTTTTATATCATGCACCTAAAATTTACATTTTTATGGCCTTTCTATTTGTATATAAATTACAGGGCTTATTATTAATGGTTTTCTCTTTACTCATAAATGTAATTGCCAGTAGCGTAGCACCATGGATAACCTAGCAAAATCAGCTCTCCAGCAAGTAAGAAATGAATGCAAACAATGTGTTACAAGAAGAAAAGAGTTCAACTTCAGAATACTAATGCATGTGTATTATTAAAAATCAAGCTAAAATCTCCTAATTTGGTGGAAGTTGCATGACAATTGATACTAAGTTTCATAGTAAATAATATATTGCCTTCATTCAGAAAAATATGTAATCTGTTTCAGACCGTCCCACAGTTGACAGGTAGCTAACTTTGTATGCGTAGGTGAAACCGGTATCTTGGCATATTGCCACTGTTTGATGCGTGAGTTTACTTGATGGAGTTTCCACTATTAACCTTCCTAACAGCAAAACATTGCTAATCTCTTACATACTTTTAGAATGAATGTTTCTATTTATTTTCAAGGCATTGTGTTTAAAGTTTTGCACCTTTGGGGAATCAGTTTCTTGAAAATACCACAAAATATCCCGCCTCGTGTTCCACATGTTAAAACATTGGCATATTTAATAGTGGTTTCTTTTGGTGGAATCAATTTCTACAATTGCTGTTTATTTTCACCAAGAAAATAACTCCTAACTCCTTTGTGTTTAGGTTGCAAGGCCACATGGAAGTGTGTTAGGTGTTGGGGAAAGCTGGGGATTCCTGGAACTGTCACTTAAAGGACAGACTCAGGTGGGGAGAGGACACCTTTCACTACATAGCACCCTGCTGTCTGTCCCCAAGTCATGATGATACAGCCCTTTTCAGGCTTTCAAGCAGCTCACTTCACTTTGAGAAATCTTAGAGGCCTGTGGAAAACTTACATAAGGGACCAAATTGATGGGACATGCACTGACCATATAACTGTACACTTAAAATAAATGCATAGAATGTAAAACCAGGCAATGTCTGCTCTTTGCTGATTCTCCCCATCCCCCCTGCCACCCAGATATCCTGGGTTTTTTACGTATAACCTTAAGTGACTCTGAATTGTTAATGTCATCATGACTGAGATATGAGCTCAGCTCATATCTCTCTCTCATGGACCTCCCAGATTGCCCCTCCCTGGTGAAGAGGAGAATAAAAATCATAAGATCCTTAGAGACAAGACCAAGTTTACTTAAGATCATCTGATTTCATCTGTATGTGAAAAGTTGCCCACTTACATTATTTGGATTGAAGTGACTTCCCTTAAATATGAAAGAATATTATTTGCTTGAGAAACATTTACCTACCCTTGAGGACACCTAGCTGCAGTTGAGTAGACCAGTTGCATGGAATTTGTACACAGAATGTTGAGATGGAATCCTATAGCTTCCCTGTACAGGCGTGACTCAGCCCAACTGGAGTTAATGGCCAGGTGTTTAGGAAACAAGCATTTTAGGAGTGAGTGACAAATTCCCATTTTTTCACCTTCTAGCAGGATGTCCCAGTGGGTCACAGTGTAGAAAAAATACCAACTTTAGTTTTAAGAAGTTGAATTCCCAGAGGGCAGGAGTGATCTTGTTTGTGATTTTATCCAGTATTTACTGCAGTGCCTTATAAACTGTCACCTTGCAACAAATGAATCATCTTTTTTTTTTTGCAGTTAGCATTTTTAGGTATATTAGAAAGATTTGTAACAACCACTTAAATTACATTTAAATAACTAAAACTATAGAATATATGTTAAAACGAGACAAAACCCTTAAATAGTTAAAAAGAGGCAAAACCGTTAAACAAATCTTCCCTTGTAGAGGACATAAAGTTTAGAAGTCTGCTATAGACATAACTCATTATAATAAAGCCGTTGTCACATTGTAAATTTGATCGCAAAGGGACATTGCTTGAATTGCAGGTGTGGCTGCAGAAGTACGGCTACCTGCCTCCGACAGACCCCCGGATGTCAGTGCTGCGCTCAGCAGAGACCCTGCAGTCTGCCCTGGCAGCCATGCAGCAGTTCTATGGCATCAACATGACGGGCAAGGTGGACCGGAACACCATCGAGTAAGTTGCCACTCCTGCCCTTTCTCTGTGGGTCCTTGAGCCAGACTATGTCATCTGAAAACCTGTAATGAACTCCAGCTACCTCAAATGGAATCACTTTTCTCATGAACTGACCTTCCAAATTTAACTTTTTTAAACTTCAGTCCTCTGAGACGTCAGATTTACTCATGTGAATTTAGCAGCACATTTTCAAAATAAGAAAGAAAATATGAACAAAGGGGAGAATGGGAGTCACAGTGGGCCCACTTGCGGCTGTTTCAAGAAGAGGGACCATCAGTGATGTGTTGGCTGGCTATACAGTTGGGAAGGGCATATGGGCACATCTCATCCTTGTCTAGTGATGTCACAGCAGCCACTTGAAATTGATCAAATCAGAATATTGACCCCAGGGAAAACAGAAATAGTCCAAATCAGGACTCTTTGGGGAAGAGGGTAGCAGAGAGCTGGTCTTTAGTTTATTAGCCTCCCATGAGTGATAATTTGCTAATTGTTTAAATCAAGGAGGAATCTTCCCTGAAAAGTCTTGGCTTTCAATTGTTTATTAACTCTTTAATAATGTTTGTCACTTTATTGATTGATTCTTCAATCGTTCCTTCATGTATGTATTAAACCAATCATTCTTTACTGGATATTTTATCTGTGAAAGAGCAGAGACAGACTCAGGGGACTTGGTCTGTTCTTCAAAGGGACTTGGCCTTTAAGGGGTTGCTGACATAGTCATGAATTATTTTACCACAGGTGCACTGGAACTTCCCAACATCATGAAAAGCATTATTACTTCTGGTGAGCACAGGAGGAAGTAATTAATTCCTTCAGTTCAGGGAAGCTTTGTTTGTGTTTAATGAGTCCTTGATACAAAGTAAATCTCTCTCATCATTTACTCTGATCGTCATATATCACCTCTCCATAGGAGGGAGGAGAAGGATGCATTTTTTCTATTTTTCAAATAAGGGAACAAAGCTAGTAAAGAAACAGAGTCCAAGGTAGCTACAGAACCTGGGCCTTTTGATGTTTAGTTGGGGAACTTTTACCATGCTGTATACTTTGATAAGGACATATTTTTCTTTTCTGTTCTTTTTTTTAAATTGTCACCTGGGGATATGTTTATTGACTTTAGAGAGAGAGGAAAGGGGAGGGAAGGGGGGAGAGAGTGAAAGAGAAACATCAATTGGTGGCCTCCTGTACACAGCTCGACCAGTTATTGACACTGCAGCCTAGGTATGTGCCCTGACAGGAGATCAAACCCACGGCCTTCTAATGTATGGGATGATGCTCCAACCAACTGAGCTGCCCAGCCAGGGTAGGATGAATTTTTCTTTTTAAATCTTAAATACTTGAAGTATTTGGGCTCAGACATATATAACTAATCCTGACATATTAAACTGATTTAATATGTAATTTTAAAATTATAATTTTTGCCTTCTAATGCTTAAGGCAGATGTTCATCATGCTATTTCTATTTCATCAAAAGCACATGATAAAGGCGTGGAGAGTACACATCAAGTCAATTTGAAAAAATAAACATGTTACCTCTCCAAGTGTTCTTAAGAGATATGTAAGTAATAACTTTGATTTACATCTGGGAAAATAGGATCAAGAATTAATGCATTCTGTAATAAAGAGAAACTTATTATCAATATCAGGAATAAAATGTGGTTATTTTCCACCAGCTGCCCTGTCATCATTTCAATTCTCCCTTCAAACTTTCATTTTAACACATAATGTATCTCTTGAAATACCTCCAGGTTTTTGTAGCTGTGTATAGTACAGAATTCCACTTAAATTAGACTCGCCATCCCTACATTTCACAAAGTAATCTGCACAGCCTTCTTGTACCTTAGAGCTGTTCTGTTCTGAGTTTTTGAAAAATATGATATGTTGTCAAAAATACAATAAATTGAGACATTGGAAAAATTACATTTTTTATTTTTATTTAAAATATGCTTATTATTACATACTAAAATTAAGAAAGTAGAGTCTTATAGAAGATAGAATTGGTTTACAGAGATCCCACTTGTCATTGGAAGAACTCAGGACAGAAAGGTTTGATTTCTTTTTTTTTTAATTTTTTACTGTTGTTCTATTACAGCCATCCGAATTCACCCCCACCCTTTGCCATCCTCCACCCAGCAAACCACCCCACTACAGTCAGTTCCCACACTGTTGTCCATATACATGGGTCATTCAAACATGTCCTGTCCCTTCTTTCAAACATTATCCCCCTCATCCGTCCCCCCCAGCCCCTATCAATCTGTTCCACATTACCATAAACAGACAAAAAGAAAGGTCTCTGTGTAGAGATGCTGAAGGGGCCTGTTCAGGATTGAGATGAACACCCTATGGAAGGAGTCCATGTCCAAGAGTCTGTGGCTGTCCTTGGAGGAAGATGCAGGGGACATGGTGTTTTCCTGGCTCACTGGCTCACGTTCTAGACCTGGAGAAACATGTCAGTGTGTTGGTGTTAAATTAGCATTCCAGTGAATTATAACATTAGTGAGAGACCTGATATGCAGGCAGCCTTTAATTAAACCAACCAGTGTTTTGGTTGGTTTTGGTGTTTTACTTTTTTTAACCACATTTTGCCCTAATTTAGTCTCTTCAGAATTGGAAATGCCTTTTTCCCATTAAACAGTGTTATCTCCATAGTAATTTCTAGGTGTGCCCTCTAAAGCCTTGTTAAACCTCATCATTCCCTACCTCCACTGCCATGCTTCCTCTGTTCTCTGTCCCACTGCCATTGTCACTCATCTTAGACACCCTGTCACTTCCTTTGCCTCCTTGTTGCTCAAGTATTCGGGTCAAAGAGGGTACTTTTTATCTAAGTAAAAACCCCATAATCATGCTACTTAAACAATTGTCTGTGTTTTTGTGATCTTAAGTGGATGTGTGCTAACAATCCATGCTGCAATGACACTTGGTTATTTTATACAGTCAAATTATAAGGTGTGAGATTTTATCTAAACCTTATTACATAAAATATGGACTACAATTATGGATGTAAAATTTTTCCTCTGTGTTGAAATACTGTCTTAGGATTCACTTTCAGATGCTATCAAATTTTATCTAATTTTAGACAGTTGTCAAGATCAATTGTTTTTAAACTAAATAATTATACCCACTTTTGGCAGACAGACATTTGGTACATTTAGTCTATAATTCTTGGACAATTTAAAACAGCAGTGCTATTTGTGGTAATCTATATATGATGTTAAAGTTATGAACCATTTTGAAGCTACAGATGTATTTATTACCTTAAATGGTGTATTATATTGCTTTTATATTAATTAGCATTGGTGTTGTAGAAATAGTAATAAAGACAAATGTCTTCACCCCCCAAATTAGCTCATTTTAGTATATTGCAACAGTTCTTTCAACTGATGGGTTTCTTAGCTAATTTTTGTGAGCAGGTTCACTTACATTTCCTAATAAAAAGGATGTAGTTAGCAAAGAAAGAAAAACATAACAAGGATATAATGAAAATGAGTCTAATATGTTTTCATAAAGTGAATAATAAGTATTATTTTCAATTTTGGTTTTTATGTGTGCACAGTGTTATGCATTGAAGCTTGATGGGATATCATTTTCAAGGTGATTTTTTTCTTTCGGATCTACACACACACACACACACATTGGATGATCTGAGTAATTCTGCTTTATTTATTTATACCATGCCCAGAAATTTTTCTTAATCAAAATTAATTTAACTGAAAAAATACCTTTTTACAAAGAATAATTATGAAACTGTAGAGCTATTTGAACTCATAATCTGAGAATTAAAATATTTAAATATATCAAGAAGCCCAAACCTTTTGACAAAGTTATCACTATGTTTCATGACTTTTCATTAATATAAGATTCATCAGTAATTAAAGTTCTTTTTGTGGTATATTCAGAGCATACTAATGGTACTCAAATACTGTAACATTATAGGATAGGTGTATCCTTACTTGGCCAGTACAGAAGGATGGCTGAGAACTAAATAAGCAGTAGCTTAAGATTTTTGTCCTGAAAGGTGGGAGGTGTATGTTTGCAGACAGGCTGACTCTAATGCTTTTGTTCACACTGAAGAACACGGAGGCTTATTACATTTACTCTCTGTGCTTGAGTTTTTAAGTATTTTAACTTTTCAACATCAGCCTTGTAAAAATAACACCTGTGTTGCAGGCAGGTTGTAAGTTGATAGAAGAAAAGAGCAAGGACCACATGGCTTCACAGGTGAACTTTACCAAACAGTCTGAGAAGAACTAACACCTCTCTTTCTCAAACTATTTTATAAAACTCAAGAGAAGGGAAGGGTTCCAAATTCATTTCATAAGACCAACATTATCCTAATGCCAAAACCAGATAAAGACACTAAATAAAGGATATTATAGGGCAATATCACTGATGAGCAAAGATGCTAAAATCCTCAACAAAATATTAGCAAACCGAATACAGCAGTGCATCAAAAAGATCATATGCCATGATCAAGTGGGATTTACTCAGAGAATGCAAGGATGGTACAACATTCAGAAATCAATAAATGGTTTACCGCATTAAAAAATGAAAAATAAAGACCACATGAGTATATCAATAGATACAGAAAAAGCTTTTGATAAAATCTAGCAACATTGTATGATAAAACTCTCAACAAAGTCAGAATAGAGGGATCATACCTGAACATAATAAAGGCCATATATGACAGACACACTGCCAGCATCATACTCAATGGGCAAAAACTATGAGCGTTCCCCTTAAAATAAGGAACAAGACAGGGATGTCTGCTTTCACCTCTCATATTCAACATAGTATTGGAAGTCTTAGCTACAGTGATCAGACAAGAAGAAGATATAAAAGTCATCCAAACTGGAAAGGGAGAAGTAAAACTGTCTTTATTTGCAGATGATATTATTCTGTACTAGAAAACCCCAAAGACTCTATCTAGAAACTACTATAATTGATACATGAATTTAGCAAAGTAGCAGTATACAAAATAAATATTCAGAAATCAGTTGCAATTT